AACCATTATGCAGGGAGGAAGACGCCTCCACTGCCTTAATGCATATCAAAAAATAATCTCAGATTATGCCATAGAATTTCGCACTTTGGCATCTGAGGTAGACTGGACTAATAACAGATTAATCACTGCTTTTAAAAAAAGATTATCAGAGAATATTCTTGACAAAATTGCTGCCAAAGACCTACCTAATGGGTTAAATGACTTTATTACTTATGTAATGCAGATCGATAATACACTCAGGACCAGGGAAACTGCTAGAAACAGAACTAGAACGTCAAAAGCCGTTGACTATGTCACTAGCACCTCGATTCTCCAACCCTGTTGCCTCTGGCCTTCCGACGCTGACTGAACCCGAACATATACAGTTAGGGGTTACAGGACTGTCTGACGTAGAGAAAGAGTATAGGAGAAGGTCTTTGCTTATATTGTGGCAAAAAAGGACACGAGAGATGCTTGTCCTATACGTCCAGAAAACTTCCGCACCAAAGAACCTTAAGGGTACAGGTCTTAAGTGTAATGGATACGTCCTCAAGCAATTCCTGAAGCAGATTTCTCCTTGACATTTCCACCTGCAATGAGAATAACTTTTCATGCAAAGCACTGGTTGACTCAGGTGCGGCTGGTAACTATTGATTTATATTTTGTTAAGAAACACACTGTACCAGTCAAGGAGAGATCATCACCTCTAGCTGTTAAGGCTATTGATGGGAGACCTCTATCTCAACCATTTATTAGATGGTCATTATTTTTGTCTCGCTTTAACTTCATTAATAACCTACAGACCCGGTTACCATCAGGATAAAACCGCGACAGGGCAATGGGCACAAGGAGAATTGGGTTTAAATACCCCTCCTGTGGATCCGATTGGCTATAACCGGCCTTTGACCCCAAAAACAATAACCAGGTTTCCATGTGCATAATTGCTGCTCAGCACAAACCCTCCTGTGGATCTGATTGATCATAACCGGCCTTTGACCCCAAAAGCAACAACCAAGTTTCCATGTCTAGCCAATTTGACGTTGAATCTGATCTAGAACAAGAGACATCCCCTATTATTTCTCCTGAGTGTATTATTGCATCCACTGTCCTTTCTTTATCGTCCCCTTTGCTCCGTGCTTTCATGGCGGCTCAGCCCCAGGCACCTTGCAGCAAACATCAAGATAAATTGTTTATTCCATTGCCTGACAGGAAAGAGGTGCTGAACGTATTCCATGACAATGTCACCACTGGGCATCTGGGTATTAATAAAACTGTATCTGCCATTTCCAGGTCATTTTGGTGGGAGTCACTCACTAGGGATATTAAAGATTATGTAGAAGCCTGCTCTGTCTGTGCAGTTTCAAAGGTTCCTCATAAACGTCCGTGTGGATTGTTACAGCCACTTCCTATACCCAGTATCCCATGGTCTCATTTATCGATGGATTTCATTGTAGAACTGCCTAGTTCCAATGGGTATACAACCATCCTCATGGTACTTGACCGTTTTACCAAAATGGCACACTTTACTCCACTTAAAAAAATGCCATTGTCTCAGGACCTGGTGCACATATTTATACGTGATATTGTCAGGCTACATGGTATTCCTCAAAATATTGTGTCTGACAGGGGTTCCCAATTTGTGTCATGGTTCTGGAGGGCATTCAATAAACAGTTGGGCATTGAATTGTCATTTTCCTCTGCTTACCATCCCCAAACTAATGGTACGGCTGAAAGAGCTAACCAATCACTTGAGCTGTATTTACGTTGCTTCGTGAATAGTACACAGTCTAACTGGGCTCAATTATTGCCTTGGGCCTAATTTGCAAGGGAAAAAAAAAGCTACCCATGACTCATCTGGGCATAGTCCGTTTTTTGTCAATACGGGTCGTTATCCTGCTGTTCTCCCTGCTGTGTTTTCTGATATGGCTATCCCTACTCTGGATGATCACCTTACCTCTATTCGTGATACCTGGACTAAGGTTCACTCTGCTCTTGAAATTGCGGCTGCTCGCTTTAAGTTTCATGCGGCTAAACGGCGGAGTGTCAATCCTCACATAACATCAGGTTGAATGTTTCCTGCATGAAGTTTGCTCCAAGGTTCCTTGGTCCTTTTTGTGTGGTTATGAGAATCAACCCCGTTTCATATTCTCTGGCCCTTCCAGTGTCCTTACGTATACCTAATACTTTTCACGTGTCCTTGCTCAAACCGCTTGTTTGCAATCGGTACACAAGCCCGGTTGTTCCCCCTCCACCTTTGGTTGTTACTGGACATAAGGAGTACGAAGTCTCCTCCCTCATTGGAGGGGGTTTATTGGAGGGGGCCTGCTGACCATTCTTGGGTTTCGGCTTCTGATATCCATGCTGGCCGTAAAATGTGTTCTTTTCACGCCAAGTTTCCTCTCAAACCTGATCCTGCCCGCCTGGTGGGCGGTCTTCAGGTGGGGGGTAATGTCACGTATTCATCCGCACATAAAAATGTGGTTAATGGCATTTACCATCCTGACAGGAAAAGTTGCACCGAGCAGCAATCATGCACATGGAAACCTGGTAATTGCTTTTGGGGTCAAAGGCCGGTTACGGCCAATCAGATCTACAGGAGGGGTATTTAAACCCAATTCTCTTTTTGCTCATTGCCCTGTCGTGGTTTTATCCTGATAGTAATCCGAGAGTGCGTTCCTGATCTTGATTTTCTGGTATTTGACTTTGGCTTGGTTTTGACTTCCCTTAATTCTGGTATCCTCGACTTTTGGCTTTCCCTCATCGTTGTGTCTGATTCGGTGTTCCTGAGCTCCGCAAGTATTTGGACTATTCTTGGATACATTAAGTCCGGCCATTCTAAGGTCCAGTTATATGTTATCCTTAGTCCTAGGTGTGACACAGTTCTGCGTGCTGGATCAACTTGTAATCCTGACACACGCAAGCGAAACCGTAAAGGAACATGTACCGATCCTTAGAGTGGCCTGGCTAGAGCCTGAGACAGATAAATGATATGTCTGAAGCAGACAGAGTATAAACTAAAGACAGGCTGAGGTCTAGGATAACAGAGATACACAAAAATCGATGGTCAGGCCAAGCTCAGGATAACAGAAAGCAAAAATAGTCAAACAAGCCAAAGTAAGAAAACCATAAATTAAATACACAGAGTAAACATACTCTGCGGTAACAAGACTCACAACAGGGCAAGGAAATAAGGACCGCCAGGAAGCATATATCCTATATTGGGTTGTGAATGGTTACAGAGGACCATAATATCAAAAGTATGTACAAATCAGAAAAAAGCGCCACATAGACTGACATTTGTAGAATATTGCATATTCTATGTTTCTATTGATTATATATATACATGGATGTGTGGATTGACATAAGTAACAGATGGTATCAATAAGTCACAAGGCTTTCTTTGTCCGAGAGCTCTGGAATGTGGATTCGGGGGTCTTGTCCTTATATGGCTAGAGTTATATGCTGACGTTAGTATTAGCACATCTTTATAGTAACAGAGGGACACGAGGTCGCTCTCAGTCTTGGCTTGGCTCTTGGCTCTGTACAACGATGTAACTCTCCCATCAGAAGTCCAGCAATTACCATCTGCTGTTGAATGTACATTATCCTGTAACATCATTTATTATGTTTTATTATGTATCCGTAACAAAGAATAAACCTGAAGAAACCGTAAGTCAGATTGCGTATTACTACTTTTCAATAATATAGACATATATTATTGTGGCGAGCATTTGGCCCAAAAATATATATACAAAAGACGTATATATATCACTCAACTGAAGATAAGAAGATTCAACATTATCACCGTCCATTCATCTACATTTTTTACAACATTATAAAAGGAGACCAATAGAAGGGTTCCATGTCATACATGATGTCATAATGAGGCATCAGGAATCACGGAATAAGTGGGTGTGCATTAAAACACAGAAGAGGCATCATTTCTAAAATCACAAGCTGCTGTGAAGGAAAAATTTAAGATTTTTGCTAACTCAAATAAAAACAAACATTGTTTTAAACTATTACATGCAATGAATATATTATTTTACATTGTAATTAACATACATCTACCTAAATAATTATATTTAATTACCTTAATTAAGCATGCAGAGGGAGGGATGTGTGGTATGGAGGAGGAGCCATGCTACGATTGGACGACTGTTGCCAGAATACCGTGCTTGCTGAAACAGACGTCCAATGTGCCCTGAAATGACATTAGCCAGAGTTACAGTGTTAGAACTGTAATATTCTTTAACAATGTCTACACAGCGATATAAATTGAATCATCAAATATGTGAAAACAGTGATAGGATAAATACAAATTAATTTAATATGTGTGGACAGCAAAATTAGGTAAAAAATTTTAATTAGGAAGAAAATGTAAATAGATCTTAAAGATTATAAATAAATGGTTCTTTCAATTTTAAAAAAATCAATGCTGCTGTGGGGGAGATGTGCGGTCCGGATTAGGGGCCGTGCCATCATCCAATGCCTGCTGCCTGAGTGCTGTGTGTGCTGATGACAGACATAGTGACATGTTACAGTGTTAGAAATGTTAATACATTTAAAAATGTCTATACAGTGATATCATTTTAACCACTTCACAACGCTAAATGGAAATTTTCCGTCATTTACTAAAGTTAACCCCAGCACTGTCCAGAGCGAGCACATGTGCTGCAGGGACTCCTTGTCCGTCCACCTGTGAAGTGCAGGGAGACGGATCAGCAGTGATCTTCTCCGTGTAAAAAAAATAAAAACAAAGTTAAATCCCCCTTTCCACTGCTTTAATAAAATTAACCTCTTCCCTGCCAATTGATCACTGACATAGAAACATAGAATGTGACGGCAGATAAGAACCATTCGGCCCATCTAGTCTGCCCAATTTTCTAAATACTTTCATTAGTCCCTAGCCTTATCTTATAGTTAGGATAGCCTTATGCCTATCCCACGCATGATTAAACTCCTTTACTGTGTTAACCTCTACCACTTCAGCTGGAAGGCTATTCCATGCATCCACTACCCTCTCAGTAAAGTAATACTTCCTGATATTATTTTTAAACCTTTGTCCCTCTAATTTAAGACTATGTCCTCTTGTTGTGGTAGTTTTTCTTCTTTTAAATATAGTCTCCTCCTTTACTGTGTTGATTCCCTTTATATATTTAAATGTTTCTATCATATCCCCCCTGTCTCGTCTTTCCTCCAAGCTATACATGTTAAGATCCTTTAACCTTTCCTTGTAAGTTTTATCCCGCAATCCATGAACCAGTTTAGTAGCCCTTCTCTGAACTCTCTCTAAAGTATCAATATCCTTCTGAAGATACGGTCTCCAGTACTGTGTACAATACTCCAAGTGAGGTCTCACCAGTGTTCTGTACAATGGCATGAGCACTTCCCTCTTTCTACTGCTAATACCTCTCCCTATACAACCAAGCATTCTGCTAGCATTTCCTGCTGCTCTATTAAGTCATCAGAAATAACCTTTAAGTCATCAGAAATAATCACCCCTAAATCCCTTTCCTCAATTATTGAGGTTAGGACTCTATCAAATATTCTGTACTCTGCCCTTGGGTTTTTACGTCCAAGATGCATTATCTTGCACTTATCCACATTAAATGTCAGTTGCCACAATTCTGACCATTTTTCTAGTTTACCTAAATCATTTGCTGTAACGGCTACCCTGATAGGGAGAGGGTACCAGCTGTTAGGGACGTCCTTTTCTTCCTGGCAGTCTCTGTGTAGTGATGGAGTCGCCTATTCCCTTCTGCTGGATCAAGAGTGGAAGCCAAGAGCTGGAAGTGATTAAGCTGCAGAGATTCCCCTTTCAAGAACCAGACAAGGCTACATTTTGAAGGGTCAGAAAGAACTGATGTTTAATGACACACACACTGCTTTTATGAGATTCTGCCCATGCAAGGGAGACACCCACATAATTAGCAGTGTAACCAATCCATGCAATATACATTTGGTAAATTCCCTCCCCTCAGATAACCACATAACATAATTAAAAACAAACGAATCCCAAAGTTTGGATACCAACATATGAAAAAATCAGCTCAATCGGTACAGCCGTTCGGGAGATATAGGACTTAGAAGTTTTGATCGACTGCACGGGTACAGAAGCCGAAAACAGTTCCATGAATGCTGGCCCTGCAGTCGGTCTAAGAACGTGGGTAAAAACTCCCAAACGGCCGGCCATCCGTATACCATCCTGGGTTCGCTGAAATCCCCATCTGCTGTTAATCCTTTCTACCGAACGCCCGGTCGTTTGGTAGATTTGGTGATACTTTCCCGAAGGTATGGAGGTCTCAGCGGTGTTCGCCTGTTTGAGTGTCCGATTTTAGTTCCAGACATTCATCGGCAAACACCGCTGTTCGGGAGTTAAGATGGCCGCGAACACGTGTAAGTCCCGAAATGGCGGCTGAGCTTACAGTTCCCATAGTGTTTGTGCGGTTGATTCGAATACAATGCCCATCAACCAGGGAGGTAAATTGGCCATAATTAACAGTCAGGGTGGCCTGTTAAGGTAGGTAAGCATTCGCAAGGTGAATGCTTACAAAAATACCGAACGGCTGTATAAACCATTTGTCTTTTGCAGGCATACTGGGCTTGTTGTTACATTTGCCATTTGGCTTATCCCTCCTGGAACATCAACCCTGTTACATATCTTAGTATCATCAGCAAAAAGACATACCTTACCATCAAGACCTTCTGCAATATCACAAATAAAAATATTAAAGAGAATGGGTCCAAGTACAGATCCCTGAGGTACCCCACTGGTGACAAGTCCAAGCTTCGAATATATTCCATTAACCACAACCCTCTGTTGCCTGTCACTCAGCCACTGCCTTACCCATTCAACAATATTGGAATCCAAACTTAAAGATTGCAGTTTATTGATAAGCCTTCTATGTGCAACAGTGTCAAAAGCCTTACTGAAATCTAGGTAAGCAATGTCTACTGCACCACCCTGATCTATTTTTAGTTACCCAATCAAAAAAATCAATAAGATTAGTTTGGCATGATCTCCCTGAAGTAAATCCATGTTGTCTCTGATCTTGAAATCCATGTGTTTTTAGATGTTCAACAATCCTATCCTTTAACATGGTTTCCATCACTTTCCCCACTACTGAAGTAAGGCTTACTGGCCTATAGTTGCCCGACTCCTCCCTATTACCTTTCTTGTAAATGGGCACAACATTCGCTAACTTCCAATCTTCTGGGACTACTCCTGTTAACAATGATTGGTTAAATAAATCTGTTAATGGTTTTGCTAGTACACCACTAAGCTCTTTTAAAAGCTTTGGGTGTATTCCATCAGGTCCCATTGACTTATTTGTCTTTACTTTTGACAGTTGAAATAGAACCTCTTCCTCTGTAAACTCACATGTAATAAATGACTCATTTATCCTTTTTCTCAACTGAGGTCCTTTTCCTTCATTTTCATCTGTAAATACAGAACAAAAATATTCATTGAGGCAGTCAGCTAGACCTTTATCCTCTTCTACATAGCTTCCTTCTTTTGTTTTTAAACTAACTAATCCTTGTTTTACTTTTCTTTTCTCATTTATGTATCTAAAAATGTTTTATCCCCCTTTTTTACTGACTGTGCTATTTTCTCTTCTGTGTGTGATTTGGAATCTCTTATAACTTTCTTAGCCTCTTTCTGCCTAATCTTATAGATCATTTTGTCTTCCTCACTCTGGGTTTTTTTATAATTCCTAAATACTAAATTTTTGTTTTTAACTATTTTGGCCACATCTGCGGAGTACCACAGTGGTTTCTTGAATTTTTTGCTTTTACTGACAAGCCTAACGTAATTTTCTGTTGCCTTCAATAGTGCAACTTTTAAATAATCCCATTTCTCTTGGACTCCATTTAAATTGCTCCAGTCTGATAATGACTCCTCTACCCATATTCTAATTTTAGAAAAGTCTGTTTTTCTAAAGTCTAAAACTTTTGTTTTTGTGTGGTGTGACTCAGTCACTGTTCTTATATTAAACCACACTGACTGATGATCACTGGATCCTACACTTTCACCAACAGTAATATCTGATACCAAATCTCCATTTGTTAACACTAAATCTAGTATGGCCTCTTTACAAGTTGGCTCCTCAACAACTTGTTTTAGAGACAATCCCAGTAGTGAGTTTAGAATATGTGTGCTCCTGGCACAAGTAGCTAATTTTGTTTTCCAATTTACATCAGGAAGATTAAAGTCACCTATGATGAGAACTTCCCCCTTCATTGTCATTTTAGCTATTTCCTCAACTAGTAGATTATCTAACTCTTCAATTTGTCCTGGGGACCTTTAAATCACACCTACACGAGTTACTGTGTGATTACCAAATTCTTACGTAACCCAAACTGACTCTAGGTTTGTCTCACTAACTTTTATTAGGCTAGATTTTATGCTATCCTTCACATACAGGGCCACCCCTCCCCCTTTCTTGCCTTCCCTATCTTTTCTATATAAAGCGTACCCTGGTATTGCTATGTCCCAGTCATTTTTCTCATTATACCATGTCTCAGTAACAGCAACTAAATCTACACTATCAGTTGCCATTATTGCCACAAGTTCATGGATCTTTTTCCCTAAACTGCGAGCATTTGTAGACATGACTCTAAGCTTATCATTTTTTAACACACTTGCTACAGGCACCTTCTGTCCTTGTTTTGGGGGACAATTGGATTGATGTTTTATCACCCTTTTGCCCCCCCCTCCTAGTTTAAATACATCCTAGCAAAACCTCTGAACTGTTCACTGAGAACATTTGTTCCCTTTTGAGAAAGATGCAAACCATCTTTTTTGTACAGCTTATTTCCATTCCAAACAGAGCAACCATGAGAAATAAAGCCAAATCCTTGCTCCCGACACCAGTCACCAAGCCACAAATTAAAGTCCTTAATACGCATCCGCCTGTCGTTCTGTGTGTTATGCACAGGCAGAACTTCAGAGAATGACAGTGTGGAAACAACCTGCCGTATATCATTGGCAAAAACACTAAAAACTTCCTTAACCTCTGAAACCTCATTGCAAGCCAAGTCATTTGTCCCTAGATGGACAAGTACATCCAATTCCCCTTTCTGCTTTGCTTGCTTAACAATATTACAGATACGTCTCCTGTCTCTGTGAGCAGTAGCTCCGGGAAGACACCTCACAAGACCACCATTGTCCATCTCCATACCTCTTATAATCGAATCCCCCAACAACAACTGCTTTCTATTAGGCCTCACCGTAGTCTCCAAGCCGGTCTCCACAACACCACTAGCCTCAGTGCCTCTCTCCACAACACCACTAGCCTCATTGCCTCTCTCCACAACACCATTACACTCTGAAAGTGCAGAAAATTAATTATGTAGAGCAACAGACTGTGCAAAATGCCTTTTATTCACAACTCTAAGTCTACCAGATCCTACAGTAATCCATCTGCAATTCCTAGTATGTCTCTGCGGCAGTGGCTTTGCAGCAGCTCCAGTCTGAGTTTGTTCACCAGATAATTTACAAAGTTCAGACTTCAAAAATACAATCTCCTGCTGCAAGATAGAGAACTGTCTACAGATTAGACAACAACCAAATCTCCAAAAAGTAGAACGTGAAAAATGCATAGCAACTATTACACTGAACTAAGTCTGCCATTCCAATGAGGAGAATAATTTAAATCAAACAAATCTTAATTTATCCTCCTGAATACCTCAGATTACCTCCAGTTTCTCTCCAGAATATCTCCAACTACACACTTAGAAGCAACACTTAGGTGAAGCAACCAAGCTATATTAGCCAAGCTAATGACAACAAGCCTTATATAACTCCTAAAATCACCACCCACTAGGAATGTTTAACACCTGGGTAGGCCTCTACTTATTTGCAAACAATAGCTAATTAGTGATGTACCAAACTGTTCGCTGGCGAATAGTTCCTGGCGAACATAGCGTGTTCACGTTCGCCACCGCGGGCGAACACATGCGCGGTTCGATCGGCCCCCTATTCGTCATCATTGAGCAAACTTTGACCCTGTGCCTCACGGTCAGCAGACACATTCCAGCAAATTAGCAGCAGACCCTCCCTTCCAGACCCTCCCACCTCCCTCCCAGCATCCATTTTAGATTCATTCTGAAGCTGCATGCTTAGTGAGAGGAGGGAAAGTGTAGCTGCTGCTCATTAGATAGGGAAATTGATAGCTAGGCTAGGGTATTCAGTGTCCACTACAGTCCTGAAGGACTCATCTGATCTCTGCTGTAAGGACAGCACCCCAAAAAGCCCTTTTTAGGGCTAGAACATCAGTCTGCTTTTTTTTTTTCTGTGTAATGTAATTGCAGTTGCCTGCCTGCCTGCCAGCTTCTGTGTCAGGCTCACAGTGGATACTGTGCCCATTTGCCCAGTCAGTGCCACCACTCATATCTGGTGTCACAATAGCTTAAGCTT